CTCTGTTTATTTTTTCCTCTGTTTTTCTTACCTTCTTGTGGGTTACTTGAACATTTTTTTAGAGTTCATTTTCATTTGTTTGTAATATTTTTTGAGCATATTTCTTTGTATAGTGCTCTTAGTGATTATTCTAGATATTATCTTATACATATGAAATTAACTACCGCCTACCGGTATCAGTGTTTCACCACTTCAGGTAAAATATAGAAACCTTCCTTCTATTTAAGCCTGTTTACACTCCGCACTTCTTTGAGTGTAATTACATATTTTTTCTAGATACAGTAACTACTGCATAAGATGGTATTATATCTTTTGCTCTAATCGTAAAATGTGATTGAAGAAAACCCATGAAGTAAAAGATAGTCTATTATATTTACTTCTCTTTTTATCCATCTCATTGCTCTTTCTCTTCTTCAAGTTCCCTGCTTTCTTTTGTTTCCATTTTCTGCGTGTCTGGAGAGCTTCGTTTAGTCATTCCTTGAAGGTAGGTCTGCTGGCAACAAGTTCTCTTGGTTTTTTCCTGAGAAAGTTCTTATTCCTCCTGCATTCATGAGGGATCATTTTGCCAGACAGAGGATTCGAGATCCACGCTTCCCTTCTTGTGGCGCTTGAGGAATGTCATCCCACCCCTTTCTGGCCTCTGCGGTTTCAAGACTAGAAATGTTCTGTTGTTCACATTGGTGTTCATTTCAGGGTAACATGTTGCTTTTCTATGAATGTTTGTAAGATTTTCTTTTCTCTAGTTTTCAAAAGTTCTTGGTCTGTAGGTTGATTTCTATTCTATTTTGAGGTTTGCTTAGCTTCTTAAATTTGTAGGTTTATGTCTTTCACTAATTTGGGGAAACTTCCAGCCATTATTTCTTTTAACAATTTTTTTTCAGGGGCCTACAATCTTGTATTTCTGATGATATGGATGTTAGGTCTTTTTTAATTGTCCCACAGACCCCTGGTGCTCTTTTTTATCTTGTTTTGCCTGTTTTCTATTGTTTCGATTGATAAATTCTACTGATCTGTTTCTAAGTTTACTGATTCTGTCCTTTGTCATCTCTGCACTACTGTTTAATCTTTCTTGTGAATTGTTTTACTTGGGTTATTGCCTGTTTTAGTTCTATAATTTCAATTTGGTCCTTTTTTATGCCTTAACGTTTCTTTGTTGCATTTTTTTTTTCATTTGTTTCAGGAGACTTTGTAACTGGGTGTTGAAACATTTTTTTTTTATGACAGCTGCTTTAAAGTCCTCATCAGGTAATTCCATTGTCTGATTCATCTCAGTATTGGCATCATTTGATTAGCCTTTTCTGCATTGTGGTTATCCTGGTTCTTGACTTGAATAGAGATTTTCAATTTCATCCTAGACATTTTGGTTATTAGGAGACTCTTGATCTTGTATGTCCTATTTTAGCAGACAGTCATCTTGTTTAGGTTTAGTGTGTCGTGTGCTGGGTTACTTCTATGGACACGAGTTGCAATGGCAATTAATTTTCTGAGCCCTTGCAGTGCTATTCTGGACTGATTTATTCTTCTGACGCCACTGGCGTTCCTGCTCAAAGCCTTTTGGTGCTGTCTGTGAGGGAAGAAGGGACTTCCTTGGGCCACCTGCTATTGCTGGGTGACCTTTGTTAGGGGAGGGAGAAGCCACTGGGCCCAAGTCTCTTTATGCTGCTGCGTGGTGGGCAGGGAGGCACAGGGCCTTGCTCTGGCCACTGCTGCAAAAGGAATCAGACCACTGCCTGCCTGGGTTGTGGAGCAGTGCCTGGGATGGCCGGGTTTCAATGCTTTGCAGCTGCTGCTGAGCAGCAACCTGGGTTGTGGAGCTGCTTGAGGCTCCCATCGAGGTCTCTACTGGGCTTCCCCTCTCCTGGTCCCTTGGCCGGAGAGAACAGGCTTCTCAGGAACTTCCAAGTTTCAGACCTCTCCAGCTCCCAGCCTTGGGGAGATGGGATAGAGAATAAAACTAAGAACTCACCAGACTGGCTCCTCGGGTCCTGAGATCTCAGCCAGTCCACCTTCCCAGCATTCAGAGCCCTTGACCACTGTTTGTTAAAACAATTTTAGGGTGTTCCATTGTATTTAGAGGGGATGAGCAAGAAAAAGTGAGTATATGCCAGAACTTGGTCCAGAACCGGACCCCCTCACCTTTGAAACTGCTGATGGCGCGGTATTTCTTCTAATGTGGGATTTCTACCCCACCCAGGATTTTGGGGAGTATCAGGAAAGCTACTATTCAGTACAGACCACTGAGGGGGAGCAGATATCCCAGCTGATTGCCGGCTACATTGACATCATCCTCAAAAAGGTATTTCATGCTGATGCAAATAGAACTTCTTTATTTTTTTAATTTTTTTTGATTGAAGTACAGTCAGTTACAATGTGTCCATCTTGGGTGCGTAGCACAATGTCCCAGTCATACTTATACATACATACACATACTCGTCTTCATATTTTTTTAATTAGATGTTATTACGAGATACTGAACATGGTTCCCTGTGCTGTACCAAAAATAGAGCTTCTTTATTAAAAGACTCAGTTTAGATAATATAGCTACCTGAAAAAAAAAAGAAAGAAAAAACCATGTAACTTTAATTTACTTCTAATTTTTTTTACTACTTTAATCTTTAACATTAAGATTGTTTGAGTGTGCAGTCTTTGACCTCATATCCTAGGGAATTTCTGATCTGTGTCACTAACTGCCAGGTAATGAGCAATAGTGCATCACTTAGCTAGTGGGTGAGCCCAGCTTACCCCTTAGCATCTTCCTCTCCAGATAATTATGTTTGCTTTCCAGCATCTATAGAAATGGGATTGAGGACCTGAAGATGTTCTTTGTATTTCTCTTTTTTTTTTCTGTCTTTCTCTTTCTCTCTCTTTTTTTAAAATCAAATTTAATAGGGGCTTACATACCATAGTGGTATATACACAAACCTCTCCTAAGGCTTCTAGATATAGCCCACTGAGATCGCCAAGTTCTACTAGAAATATTAATATCTATGTCTTGATTTTAACTGTATAAAATTAAGTCTTGCAATAATGAATACAGAAGACATTAGCTACCTCTCTATAGTAAATTATATATTTCTCTTTCACTGTTACTATTGCTTTTGTTCACCCATCACTTATTAAATATCGAATACAAAGAACCTGGGTAAACCTCAACATTTCTGCTTGTGTGGGTCCTTTTAAAAGGTCTCTTAAAAGGGTCTTGTGTCCAGACCGGCTGACTTTCATTTTTGTCTGTTTTACCTCAGAAACAAAGTAAAGACAGATTTGGACTAGAGGGCGACGAGGAGTCAACTATGTTAGAAGAATCCGTTTCTCCCAAAAAGTACGTATTGTTGGGAGAACTGGAGAAGCGCCTTCTCCCCGGCCTGACAGGTTTCCTCGGGCCGGCTCTGGGGCTGCTGCCCGAAAGTCCCTCATGCGGAGGAGGTGGCGGTGGGTGAGAAAGATGAGTATTGCTTCTCGAAGTGCAGGGCTCAGATCCTCATCACCAGTGTTGAGGGTGTCTTTTTGGGGTGGGGGTGGCCTGGGGATTTCAGGGCGACGCTGAACAAAATGGGTTTAATTCCATCTTTAGACACAGTGAGCCTTCGTGAGTCCTCTTCTGAATTTCTGGTTTAAATCTCATAAACTACATCATTTTCCTCAAAGCCTCGAGTCTAAGTTTAGTTCTGTGCCTTTTGGGGTGGGGGCCTAGCCAGTGGAGGAGTTACTGTTTATGGAATGCTTGTCACCTGCCACACTTGATACCCATGTCACGAGGCAGCAGAGGGACGTGGTGAGAACGTGGATCCTGGAGCCAGAGTTACTTGGTTCAAATCTGGGGTCTGTTTTTTTTTTAACTAAAAAAAACTTTTTAAAAACAACTTTATTGTGGTTTAATTTCTGTACAGTAAATTACACATATTTCAGGTGTACACTCTGATGAATTTTGATAGATGTCTACACCTATGAAACCACCACCAAAATCACGATACCTCACACTTCCATCACTCCCCAAGAGGTGCAAATTTCAACCTCCCGATTTATCCCTTCCCACCCCCTTTATGGGGTCTGTTTTTTAATGTGTGGCCATGGGGACATGATGAATTTTCTCTGCTCCCTTCATTTCATCTATAAAATGAGAATAGTGATTGACAGTAGTACCTCATAAGTTTTATTTTGATGACTGAGTTACTAATAAAGCACATAAAATTAATAAATCACATAAAACAATGCCTGGTACAAAATAAATGTTTGCTGTTGCATCATTTTAAATTCAGAATAATCTCAGTTTAGCCCCATTTTATAAACGAAGAAACTGAGATTAAAAGTAAGTAACATTGGATAAGTAAGACTCCTCGGGAAACTGTTCAGCTGCCCTTGTGATGTTAAATAGAGCACTGGAATGATAACTTTTCTTATCTACACTACACAGTTTGCTGGCTCAATTGATCCCTGTGGAAGAGGTAGGCTAGATCTTAACATCTCCAGTTTGCACATGAAGAATCTGGAACTCAGTGGAGGTTAGTTGAGATGCAGCCATGTCCAGAGCCAGGACTCAGATTTAGATCTTGTGCTGTCTCCTACAGTACACTGCCCGGAAGCTCTAGCATGTTCCAGCATATCGAGCTTGCTTAGTCATAATAACTGTTTCTCTAATGTGGCCACTCTGTGCCATGTTCTCACAACTTGCTTTATCATCACCTTGAAGGTGCTCTTCCATTTGTCCCCTATTAGTACTCAAGTTGGAACCAGATTTGATACGATGCATTTCAAGTCCTGTTTGCTACCCTGTGGCAAAAAGACCTTAAGTGTTTGAAATTGTTAATGACTGTTAGATGGACACGAGGAAGCTAGTGTTTCCTAATAGAGTGAGCTGTTCACTTCTCGGGGCTCTGATGCACTTGAACTTCTCCTCGGAGCAGCTAAGTAAGTGTCTGAGCCCAGAGTGCTGGGACCCTCCCCTGCCTGGGGCCACTATAGCCCGTTTGCACTGCAGAGGGCATCATGGTGGGGTCTGGTCAAGGCAAGCAGGTAGCATGGTCCAGGTAGGTCCTGATCACTAGACCGTCCGCTTCTCCCTATACTGGGCGTTGGTGGAGATCTCGGAATGCAGCTGGTGTAGTGGAGCCGTAGATCCACCCTCCCTAGTGCCAACCCCTCTGCAGACATTCATGTTTCTCCATGGATGCCTGTTGCTTGGTGTCCTAGCATGGCTCACAAGCTTTGCGCTGGGCAACAAGGAGTGACCTGTGATGATTCCAGAACCCTGGGACACAGGTGCCTTAATGCAGCTGCTCACCGACCCTGCCCACCTCCCACACATGCACACAGACTCCCCCAGACTCTCCCCTGTGCATCTGCCCACCGGGCTGCTGACTTAGCTGGGCTGCCCTCAGGTTCTTACCTTCCTGCGCTCATAGAGTCCTTTGCACTCACCGATCATTTCAAGAAACTAGCAAGGAGTAAAACACTGAAAG